GTCATAGTTCGGCTCTTGCGTTATCGCGCTGGACCTTCGCTGGGACTTCGTTTTTCGAGCAACCGCACCGGAAAGTGAGAGAGGGATATGTTCGCTTCATTTCGCTCGCCTTCGCTGCGCGAGCAAACGGAAATATAGAGCGGGCGGCATTGTTCACGTTCGTTTCGCTGGACTTCGCTGGTCGAGCACACGAAATACAGAGTGGGGGCATGTTCGCTTTGTTTCGCTGGACTTCGCTGGACTTCGTTGCTCGAGCAAGCGAAATCGAGACGCAGGAGTATGTTTGCTTTGTTTTCGCTCGCCTGTCGCTTGCGCGCAGCAAACGAAATATTAGACGGCGCACGAATGGATGTTCACTACGTTTCGCTGGACTTCGCTGGTCGAGAGCCACGAAATACAGAGTGGAGGGCATATTTCAACTTTGTTTCGCTGCCGACTTCCGCTGGACTATCGTTGCTGATCGAGCAAGCGAGAAATCGAGACGAGGATATGTGTTGCTTTTTATCGCTCGCCTTGCCCTGCAGCGGAGCCAACGAATATAGAAGCGAGGGCATGTTCACTCGTTTCGCTCGACTTCGCTGGTCGCGAGCACGACGAAATACAGAGCGGGAGGTATGGTCCGGCTTCGGTTTCGCCTCGACTTCGCTGGACTTCGCTGATCGACACACGAAATACAGAGCGGGCTGTGGGGATGTTCGCTTCGTTCGCTGGACTTCGCCTGGACTTCGCTTGGTCGAAAGCAACAGGGTGATAGCCTCCATTTAGGAGCGCTTCCAAATTTAATGATCATTAATGTCGCTGATATAACAGGATATAAAGGGGGGAGGGCGGAGGCGGTCCGCCTATAAATTCGATAGATATCAAGGGGGTTAGATATCAAATAGATATCAAGGGGGGGGTTATATATAAGTATAACGATATAAAAGAGCTATTAAACTTGCGCGCCTTGGCTGCGCGAGCAAGCGAAATACAGAGCGAAATTCATCTTAACACATGTCTTCAGATTATTGCGCCCTTTCCAATTCGTGAGCAGCACAATGCACCAGACCTCCTCTTTATAAACACTCGTATTTGTCTTGAAACCGTACCACAACTTTACTCAACTCAAACTTGCCTCATTCACACCAACATAACCACACGAAATCTTCCCCTTTTCTCATGATGTACACATTCATGTAACAATATTACAATATTTATCCGTTTTTTTTCACATGCCATAGCCATGTATATAGTCAGGCTAAAGGACAGATTCTTCGTCTTTCCGCACCTACCGCAGCTCTTTTCTTTCTGGCTAAATGCCATAAAGATGGAACTGATGTCTTTGATGAAGTGCTCCCACTTATCATCGACGAGCGTACTCAGCACGCTGCTGCAAGTTTCGTCGAGATGTGCATTATTCACACAGGACTCAATCAGGGCTTCTCTCTCGACTCCAACAAACGCCTCATTGTAAGTCTGATTTCGACAGTCACCTTTCTCGACCAAGAACATATATATCGCTTGCTCTTGACCATCCCTCTAAATTCTCTGCCACCTATAAACACTCTCATTCGTATGTTCACGATTTCTTGTATTAACTCGACTTTTTTTCTGTTTCCCATAGATCGCTGACCTAGACTTAGCGGGTGCGTCTGCCGCAACTAGCACTGCTCATCTACCCACTGCGCAGCATCTACAACAATCTCGTCCGCTGATAAAGAAAACCCCCGCACAGTGGATTCTACTCTCTCCAGGATCCATCACATCCATGCGACATGAACAGCACATACACCACATCAAAAACAAAGATGCTGGAATGCAGGCCTTCCGCGAACTACAACGCATGCAAATCGGCAAAGTGTTCACGTTCAAACGCCCTGGAAACCAATCCATGGTACTACTTTTATATCCTTTCATTATTGCAAAGTCACATGCAGATACATCCAGATTCCAATGAAGCACATTCCTCGCTATCTTCCCTTCCTCAAAATCTGCGTCTCAGTTAAAGTACACGTTTCTCTCGAGTAGATAGCATCTATGACCTTTCTCGAACGCACGTGTGCTGAACATTTTTGCACTTGACCTTACTCGCACGTTGTCTCATACCATTACAACAATTCACCGAGAGACACTCATTCATCTTGCCTATTTCTTTCTTATATAACAGAACTACTTCTTCCTAAAGAAGAATTATGAACATGTCACCCGAGAGGAGGGACAGAGATTTGTCGCAGGTTTGAAAAGCCACAATGTCACCCTCACACACTACCAACATCAACTCATGAATACAAGGTAAGCATTTGTATCGAAGGGCCACATCATGTGTTACTATATCATTGCTACGTTACTTCCTCTTCTGTCGCCATTCATACATATCATCAAGAGCTAATAATACCTCTTTTATTCTCTTATACCTCTTAATTATTCTCTTATACCTCTTAATATACCTCTTACCTTTATTTCTCTTATACCTCTTAATTCTCTAATAATACCAATTATTAGCTCTTGATATCATATTGCCAATGCGGCCAATATACGTTAGCCCTGCGCACACGAGGGGAATCAGCTCAGTCAAAAGTTAGACCCTACACAACTCTCAATGTTGGCTTTTCGCCTTATCTCTCTAGTACTGCTATCAACCTCTTCCTATTAAACTCAAAACTGCACAAAATGTTATAGCAACGCAGTCGCATCACTTACTCCAAAAACGTACTAATCCCGTAGTGATGCACAAGCAAAAACTCCCTACGGTTTACATGCTCACTGCTCTATGCCAACCATCGCTTTTCTAACAAACTTTATATACATGTGCTACCCCTGTTCGCATTTCAATATCGACAACAAATTGCACAATGTCTTTCAATGTGTAATTTTTTCTGCTCATGCTACGAACTCTTCCCAACCATATTGGCATTGCTAAGTTCCAACTATTCATTTCTTGAATAACATCATCTTTCTTAATGTACAGAAACAAACACGCAATGGAAGCAGTGAAGCTATTCCAAATAGCTGAGGCCGATGAAGAAGAAGTGACAGCAAAAGACTCGTAAGTAGACCTTATACATCACAAAACCTACACAGCACAATGCTTTTGCTCATATCTATGTTAATTTCGCATCCGAACCGAACTCTACTGTTATCATCATGCATTGTACATAAACTATATACAGTTATAAATAGTGGCCCTACACCATGATGCACAATTGCACATGATGCATGCCTAACAGACAATATATTACGCACACACCACACCTCACAACAGCAACAAATACACATGACTACAACGCCTTCATTTCCTCACATTGCACACTATTTCCGTATTTATGCCAAATGCCAACAATATAAAATACCCAACATTACGTTTCACACCCAAAATAAAGACTCCCACAGGCACCGCATATCATCGAGTACATTCATACATTTCACTACCCACTACATCATTGCACTTCATCTATTGCTCAGTCATTTATCACACACTTTAACCAGTTCTCATTGTTCTTAAAGTTGGACTTCTATTACTTCAAGAATCATCACATGTTTACAACCATGTGCATCGGTAAGAACACCTTTATGCGAATCATTCTCATACAAACAATTTACAGTCCAAACGACTTGTCCAAACAGCATGACCTGCTCCGCGACCCATCGGACGAACACATGCTCAGCCACACATCGGACCAACGCCTGCTGCCCGGCACATCACACCAAGTGCTGCTATAGCGCACACATCCGATGAAGAGTTCATACCAGACACACAACCCCAAAGTTCGTCTCGGTAATAAGCGTCACCAATATCTCATTACAACCATTCTGAATGCACTGAGAACACATATCAAGTGCAAATGATGTCTAATGCATGAAAGCCAAATTATTCACCACAAATACACCCTTTTGTATTCATGCCGCATTCCACTGGGGACACACATGACTTTCTCCCGACAATAAGACATATTTCAATACTTCATTACCCTCAAGCAACCATTGTCCTTTTCATGACATCCCAACGTCTTTCTTTTTCATTGCAGACAAGATAGCGTCAATGAGATGGCATCACAATATGCTATCACACAAAGGTACGGTGACAGTACATTCATTTTAAAAACGCAATCAAAGTCATTGCAACATTTTTGTCTATCTCATCATATTAATCTGATATTCACCAAGTGCTGTAGATTTCACCAATAACTTTTTGCCCCTTCAATATTCGCGTTCTTACTTCTTCCTATAACACATATTCGACATCTTTCCCATGCCTCTTCCATAGTCTAATGTCACGTTTATTTTTCTCTCTCCTAACAGAACACCTTCAACCTGCGCAAAACGACCCAAACTCTCACTAATGATCAGGAGATTGCGAAAGAAGTCACCTCACTCAGCAACGAGTAGCCAACCTCCTTGGAGTATGAACATATAGTACAAACAAGGAGTGTGAACATGTCGAAATCTATTCGCGTCTCATTCCCGTAGCTTCGGTGATCCGCTTATGTCTGTGTCTGTGTCTTGTGTTCCCGCGGCACATCTGGTAGTTGTTCTTGCTTCTGCGCTGTTACCTGTGCTGTGTGTCAGCTGGCTGATTGGCGTGAGTGTCCTCACTTGTGTCCTCACTTGTGTGTCAGGCATTGCATGCTGCTGTCCGTCTGCGGCTGTAGTATTCGGCTTGCTAATCTAATTATCTGATGTACTTGGAAGTTGCGCGTGTGTGTGTGTGTGTGTGTGTGTGTGTGTGTGTGTGTGTGTGTGTGTGTGTGTGTGTGTTGTGTTTGTGGTTAATAGTTTGATATTGTAGCAATTTGTAACCTAGTTGTTAGTGTATCACGTTGACTTTGTTCCAATGAATATACTTGGTTAGAAAGAACCGTCAAACAAACTTTGTCGAATATTTTCTGAGTTTCTATATGAAACAGAACACAACACAGAATGTGTGTGTGTGTGTGTGTGTGTGTGTGTGTGTTGTGTGTGCGTGCGTGGTGCGTGCGGTGGCGTGCGTGCGTGCGTGCGTGCGTGCGTGCGTACGTGCGTACGTGCGTGCGTGTGTACCTATTAGTATTATTAGCTCTTGAAGTGATGCTACTACCACCAGACCTCCCTCCCTCGCCCTTCTCTCTCTGTCTCTGTCTCTGTCTCTGTCTCTGTCCTGTCTCTGTCTCTGTCTCTGTCTCTGTCTCTGTCTCTGTCTCTGTCCTCTGTCTTGTCTCTGTCTCTGTCTCTCGTCTCTCTCTCTCTCTCTCTCTCGCTCTCTCTCTCTCGTCTCTCTCTCTCTGCTCTCCTCTCTCTCTCTCTCTTACTTTCTCTTTCTCTTTCTCTCTCTCTCTCTCTCTCTCTCTCTCTCTCTCTCTCTCTCTCTCTCTGTCTTTCTCTCTCTCTTTCTTTCTTTCTTTTTTTCACCATCGCTCGGTTTTTCTGTGTCTCTTTCGCTTGCGCGCGTGCACTCTCTCTCTCTCTTTTTCTCAATATTATATATCTCTCCAAATCCTACTCACCATTATTTTACGACGTATTTGCGATGGATCACTGTTAATTAAACTCGTGAGTCACAGTGAAATGTCTAATAATATGTCATGCTCCCGGCGTGAAAGTATATGCTATAATGAAGCAACTATAACACGTCGCGTTCACGGAAGCAGTCAACAATACAGAATCAACAGTTGCCACCACTAGCACCACCGCCACCAACCACCAGCAGCACAGCCACCACCACCACCAGCAGCAGCAGCAGCAGCAGTAACAGCAACAGCAACAACAACAACAGCAGCAGCAGCAGCAGCAGCAACAACAACAACAACAACAACAGCAGCAGCAACAGCAACAACAGCACTAACAACAGCAGCAGCAGCAGCGACGGCAGCAGCAGCGGCAGCAGTAGCAGTGCCCCGGATATTTCCCCTTGCACATTACTTCTCGTCACATGGGATTTTCCTTTCACGTCCACGGCGGAGATGCGTACGTGCATGCGCGTTTGTGCGTGTGCGTGTGCGTGTGCGTGTGCGTGCATGGGACAACCTGCGTGCGTGCGCACGCGTTTATGTACAGTGGCGTGTCTGATCGCGTGCGTGTGTGCGTGCTTGCGTGCGTAGCGAACGAGCGTGTGTAATTGGGTGAATGCGGGTGCACGCACGACCGACAATCTAGTAACAAGCTAATATTATGATCGACTCGTAATAACCATGCGGGCAATGACAGTTGACTTCCACTGAAACCGGACGGATGCCCACGCATAACTAAGTATGATACGCCATCCCTGTAAGCTTTCCTGCTACAAATGCTGAGCTGCACAGGTACAGGCATTCGCAATTCTGCTTCACCATAAACCGTCACAGAGGGAGAGGAAGAGAGGTAGAGGAAGAAAGGGAGAGCGAGAGAGAGAATGAAAGCAGGAGCGGAAAAAAAAGAGAAAGCGAGAGAGAGAGAGAGAAAGCATTCACTAAACTAACTTTTGAAATTCCGCCCATCTATCTAACCACGTATGTAGAACATCGGTTGCTACAGCCAGAACGACTTAAAACACGCCTGAACCAAACAATCTAGTGAGCAACGACCACTCAAGGCCACTCCAAATTTTGAAAACACAAACTTTTCACACAGAAAAGGGGGCGAGTAACATGAAGAGTGCGAGCGACAGATAGATGGATAGTGTATGAATAGATGAGTGAGTGTGTGAGTAACCGAGTGATTGAGCAAGCGAGGGATTACCGTGCACGCACACATGCGCGCACACACACTCGCACGCACGCACGCACGCACACACGCGCACACACACTACCAGTTGACACATATTACCTGCCCGCATTCTTACCGCATCGGCGCGCATGCATTGCGCATGCGTTGCAATGCCCCAAGTAAGAATTACTGTGAGGTTCTATGCCCCAAATATTTTCGCAACGGTGATGAACTTCATGCATGCAGCCTCATGGATGTTATCAGGAGTGTCACAATATATCAGCTAAGAGCTAATATATGAGCTAATAATATCAAGAGCTAATAAAAAAGCTAATAAGAGCTATAATAGCGGTATTATTAGAGCACGAAGGATCCTTGGTCATGCAGGTGCAATCAAGGTCACTTGACGTCACTCATTCGCCATGACCAGGGTCGCCTCAGTCAATTTAACATGCCTGTTAGATTCCAAACTAAGTTTCCATGGATGCAGATTCCATGTTGGAATGAACACATCATGGCATTGGATTCCAAATAAGCAACGATCATCCCCAGTTTGACCCCCGGAGAGGGTATGGTGTTGCGGCTGCCACTGATACCCTGAGAGATGGGCTATAGCATCCTAGCATCACTTACATGGTGACCACTTCCGGCATGCTAATCCTTTTTATTGTCATCAGTGACCTCCTTATTGGCAACTGCTTACATGGTTACCACTTCCATGGTGATTAATTCCACTGTGACCACTTTCATGGTCACCAACTCCCTGGAGAGTGCCATCATTGTGACTGCTTCCACAGCGAGCAGTTCCATGGTGACCACTTCCATGGTGACCACTTCCATGGTGACCACTTCCATGGTAACCACTTCCATGGTAACCACTTCCATGGTAACCACTTCCATGGTAACTGCTGCTATCGCGAGCATACTGCATCCTGAGTAGTCATAGAATGCTGTGCAAGTGGTTATGCGTTCACATCCATACGTCCTTAAATTGACTACGTCACGAATTTTCCATGGTAAAATTTGTTTAAAAAAATTGCCCTTTTTTTACATTCAAAGTAAGAACCAACGTTACTAAATATATCCCCAAACTCTCATCTGATAAAAATGTTTTTACGTTGGTTAAATTTGCAAAAATCTAGACGATTTGGTAATTTCTGTTGTCTAACACTATTCCCCCAGTACTGTTCAGATACTGGCGTCTCTCTGTTTTTCACCGGCAAATTAGGGCATATAAAGAAGGTATATAAGCATGAAAAATAAACAGAAACACTAATTGTATTTTCATACATTTTATTTTGTACAAATAACACACAAATATACTACTTAATGGTGCTATAAATTCGTGACGTAATCACTGTAAGTCCACACAAATACAATAAAGCCTTACGATTGGCAATGCGCCCAGCTTCTGCACTGCCAAATTGCTGCTTTGATTACTGCAAGGTGTTCGATTCTCCCTATTACCTCGCAGTGTACTCATATTCATTTGCTCAGTAAGGGCAATCGTTCCTAGACCTTAGCATCTCTATATGTCTCAGCATATAAACTCGTTATTTGTAATAAAATATACCAAACGTGGCTGCCACAGGCCCAAGGAAGTTGTGTTGGCTGCTCAATTGAGTTCTCACACCCCTCTCCCGATCTCGTTCTTCGCGTAAGTTCACTCATGTGTCGCAACCGCACACATTTGTTGGATCTGTACTAGAGCCTCCGAGTAACTACCCTTTGACACGTGTCGATAATCGCAGCTTCCCAAAGTTAAGCTGTACGACTGCAAGGACTGTGGGTGGCCCATGGTGGGAGAGCGGGAATCGGTCGTGAAACGCCGACGATTCGTCGAGGGCATCGTAAAGCTTTCAGTAAGTTCCAGCAATAGCCAACGATTGTTTTTGTAAGAAAAAAAGTTTATACGAAACGTTTGCATCTAGCACATGGCAAATTACCCGCGCACGCACGTACCTTCTTCTTTCTCCGTGACGAGCTGCGCTCCTCAGCCTCCTCTAACGACGACGCTCCGGAGAAGCAGGAAATGGAAGACGTGTCAGAACAGGTGCTCCCCGTCGACAGCTTCCTCTCCATCGCCGGGTTCTCCCTGTAGAAGCTAAACATAAGTGGTTGCCTCGGTAACGAGAAGATGTTGCACTCTGTACCTATTTCCCACATGCATTGGATGTGATGGTGTACTTTGGAAACTTCTCCTAGACGAGCGAATTACAATTGCCACATTAGCAGTTTTAATAAAAGACAAGAACCTGAACCCTGCTACACTTGGATGAATAACTCAACTTTGAGACTACTAGTAGCGCAGATAAGGTCTATGTCCCCTTGACCTCTGTTTGACCTCGCTCGTTCTGACTAATATATATATATATATAATATATAATATATATAGGGTTAGGGTTAGGGTTAGGGTTAGGGTTAGGGTTAGGATTAGGATTAGGGTTAGGGTTAGTCTGAAATAGCTTAACGAGCGAGGTCAAACAGAGGTCAGGGGGACATAGACCCTACGAGCACTAGTACCCTACAAGCAGCTCATCACGACAAAACTCGTCATTCCCTGCACATGTATTGTCGTAGGCATGCCATGCCAGAATTTCCCAGAGCAGGGTGATTCTAACAGGTGAGCAGGCACATGATCTCTCTGCTAGAGTATACAATAGTATACGATCATACTAAGATTAACGTTCCCACAGCACTACTCACAATTAATCACTCTCCAGGCGCACAGTCTCGCTAATTTATACCTGTGCACAATCTCCAATTATCTACTCTAATATTACTAATTATATTATATTATATTATATTATATTATATTATATTATATCATTCTAACATTACCAGGCATCCAACGTGACTACGAGGCTACCAGCTATACATTACTTTCGATTTGCTTCAAGTAAGCATGATAGACATGCTAGGCAGGAAACCCGGTGTCAGGAACATCATAAACTATTATGACTATGAGCATCACAGTACTACAACGTAACGTTTGTACAGCACTTTTCAACAGTTATGACACCTCAGACTCCTTCATTCCGATAACCACAGCCGTTTATAATATTTCCAACATCGAGGGATTTCCCAGGTTACCGCAAACAAGAAGCCATTTAAGCGAAGGCACGAAACTCTCCCGTGCAGCACCGACGCTGCCGCGCGACTTACCTGCCCTCTGGTGAGTGTAGGTTGAACGAGAACGACCCCGATGACCCGGTAGAGTTCGCGGACGCCGCGCCGTCGTCGGCCGTGCTGTGATCGCTGATGACGACGCTCGGAAACGTGGCGACCCTGTGCACCGCGAAGATGCCCGCGAGAGGATGAGGCGAGACGGGGGTCGCCGGGCTCGAGACAGGCAGCGATATCGAGTGCCGACTGAGCGATCCCGATGGCAAGACGGTGGCGGCGGCAAAGTCGGCGCGCGGAGCCGGACGGGCTCCAAGGATTCGTCTCGCTGGCTTTCCTTCGCTGAGTTCTGTCCGTGCGTCGTCCGTCGCAAACACGTCAGTTGCTAAGGAGTCTGTTGCCGGGAAACACATTGCGGAGGCGGGGTTCATCGGCACGGCGACGGTCGCCGTGGCACCGAATTCGGCGGTCTCTGATGTGATGCCACCGCACTGCGATTCGTGACCCGACATGGCCGCCGATACTCGGGAAGCGGCGCCCTCTAGCGACACCCGGCACGCCGCAGCATTCCATGGGTCCTCCTCTAGCGACGGCGACGTTCCGAACGTGCTGCCGGTGGCGCCCTCACGCTCGCAGTCTGCCGACACGTCAACGGCAGAGTCGCCGCTGTGAGCGCAGGCTTGTCTGCCCCGGGACCTGTCCCGCGGGAGCTGGGAGGGATCCAGGAAGTCCCCACCGCCGCCGGCGCCGCCGGCCGAGACCAATCCCGGGTCGGTGAGACAGTCGCTGCCCGTGCCGCTCACGGGCGAGACGTCGCCTCGATGCTGCGGCGACACGCTGAGACACTCTGCCGAGAGGCACAGCTTGTCTCGCCGACCCGCGAGACGATGCTCGGCGTCCGGTTGCCGCGGCGACGACGACGACGCCTCGCAGTCGAGACTCGTGTCGGAGGACGCGTGGCGCAGCGCGGTTGCCATTACGACGAGCATCCTGCGTCCGGCCAGCCTCTCGTTGCCGCTAGGCTCGTTCATCGCGTGGCTGGACAGCGACTTGAAGACTGGCCTCGTGCCACACGTATCCTGCAAGAGAGGCGGAGAGTGAGCGCGAACCACCAGTCAACATGCGCGTCTCGCACGACGACGACGACTGCTCTCTTGTCGCACTCGCTGCGACGCTACGTCGTGCGCATGCCCAAGAGAGAAGCGATGGCGCACTTCCGTGAAGCCCCATCAATCTTCTTATCTCTACATCGGTGGTCAATTAAATCTCTAGAAGATCTCTCCTCAATCTACGGTCTCACGTCACGTCGGGCATCACTACCGCTTGAAGAGCCCACATCCCGTGAATCCCCACAATCTGCCACCGGGACATCGCCGCTAGAGCTTCACTGCTCTGCTAGGGAGACTCACTGTTTGCTGTAGGGAGGTACGTTCTTCCACGTGCGGCAGTGCGCGCCGCAGACATGTTTATGTGTATATATGCATGTGAATCTTCCGTACGCGCTCACTGACAGTAAGAAAACACACGCTGGCAGATCTGGGACGCGATATGTGTTGCACGGGGTGCAGCACACATCGATCACAAACCGAACTTACTCTAAGTGCCAGGCCTCATGGGGCAATCCCACTAGGGCAGTGTTTCTCAAACAGATTGAGCGGGAGGGGGGGGTTAGGTCCCGACCATAGATATCCTATAGGGCCTAATGTACCTGTTAGATAAGATCTATGGTATCTGTAGTCCACGCCCTGACAATACCCCGACTGCAGTCACGCTGTATCGGGAGAACGCACGCCGGAAAAGCACCGCCGCACGCATCCACGGCAGATCTACGCGTTACAATGTTACCGGAGTTTGTTTAAGCACATCGTGGGACGTCACCCGCTCGCGCTCGCTGTGTATTCACCTCTCGGCCGTGCCACGCCGAGGTCCGGTTCATCTCCTGGCCACGAGACAGCGCCGAGTCGTCTGCCAGCAACGTCTCTGAAAACGCGAATATTGTGTCAAAGTCAGACCGTCAGCATTCAGATTTCTGTGGCCCTGCGCGGCTTGGCCTACAGAAATCCTGACGCGCTGTAAATAGACAATCTGCTGTCGAACGCGAAAGCAAAAGTAGTTCAGTCAGTCAGTCTGTCACAGTCAGTTCTTCTCGAATTCTCCGTTATCCGACTTCAGTGACATTGTTTCGGAATCTCTCGTGCCATGTACGTCATTCATTAGATGTAATTAGAGTACGAGAGCCGTACGTGAGTAAATTTCTTGAGCACGTTTGCGTGTACACTACAGCCCGCACCCACGCACGCGTATTTGTTTACACGTCATTTCACACAATACGGCTGCGTACGGAAGTATCAACTTACATTACAACTGCAACACTACACTACGTGTCGTCACTTGGCTCTAGCGTCTAGTTAAACCCTGTTTTAATGTCCACCACGCCTAAATTACATCACTGAATTTGATTTTGAGCTCCAGGTTTGTGAAGAGGGAGCCTTGCGGTTTCTATGCAACCTGACCTCGCACTTAGCTAGACGGAACGGAGTATGACGTTTTCACGTAAAAGAAAACTCAGCTACAGTTACAGATAAGGACACAGGAAAAAAACAGCCATCGTAAAATAGACTTTCAGCGTCTACTGCGTCAATGCCGGCATTGTCAATGACGGAGTTAGCCATGCGTGGGTAGCGTGAATAATAGGGCCACCGATACAGCCCTCAACATTACAACTAAAGCCCTAAAATGTACAGCTCTACACGAACCGATTGAGGATGCGCACCTAGGCCACTCTCGAAATATTTCTCACATGTTGCGACGCGACCGACCCTCCCAATATCGTCCCGGAAGTATAATTGGTCGTGTGAATTTTGTGAGGCAGCGTGCTTGCACATGTATGACGTTAACATTCTGATTCACAACAACTGTCTACTATATCCAGGGATCGAACTTCAATATGGCCACGACAGCAAGTGTTTCCATGGCAAAAAAACCAGTAACTGCTCTATCTGGCTATGTCAAATGTTTTATTGACCCAATGACAGCAATAGCTTTGTTCTGCAAAAAATACAATTTGATACCTATATATCTGCCAGTATGCCAGTATGTGTGCCTGCCTGCCTCCCCCTATCTACATATCTAGCTGTAACTGTCCTTGAAATGCCTGGTTGGATTACTTCAAAAAATACTTATATTCCGAGCACTATTACTCAACAAAAGAACTGAAGAAAAGAGAAACAGTTGCCTCAAGGCATTACTAGCAAACCCAACCCAAGTACTCAATAAGACTTCTGACATAATAGCACTGAGCAGGTGGTTTCGAATGAATAAGGCCTAAATAAATACGTTTGTTTCCGCTAACCCGACCGAGTCCATTTTAAACCGCCGTGTCGAAACCTTTTATTGTGATCAAAAAACAAAAAAAGATTTCATATTTAAAAACAAAATCCCAACGTGATATCGATCAGTGAATGCATTGATTTGACTTTGAAGTCATTATATATGGGATGTTATAAGTATAAAACAATTATTGTTAGAATACAAAAAGAAATGAAAAATATTTGATAAAAAAAAATTTCGCCTGCCTACCGTGTCAAATTTTTTCCAGCTCGTTACCGGAAACAAACGTCTTTTTTTAGGCCTAACTGTTTCCGTACATAATATCAGGAGTAAATAATAATAAATAATAATAATGCGTGTATTTACTCCTGATATCAATTTATCTTAATCCTGATAATATCAGGAGTATATCAATAATTGATATACATATTGATATACATATTGATATACTCCTGATAATATAAATAATAATAATAAACATATACCCTATTCAGCATTATGGCTACTTTTGAAAGCACGACATTTCAGTATTCACATGACAGTTTAACATAATTCAAGTACTGTGGCACAGATTCTAAAAAATAACTTGCCCATATCTAGCTAAGAGTCTTCTATGCGCTCTCGACTACATCTTCCCAGTCCAGATGTTCTGCACATTTTAAGAACTCTATAGCTCTACTACTTACTAGTGCTGGTATTGCCATACTTGGTGGTTGCATAATAGGCGCATCTACATTTAGCAGAAGAACAACAGTGACCATGCATCAGTATGCTGTGCCAAGGATGCTCAGGCTATACTATACTAATCTTTCTGGCTTTTAGTTGGTAACTTTGTTTACTTACCCGCACTGTAGCAACAAACTGCAATATCTATGCATGTGCAGACGCAGAGAGGAAGGGAGAGGAGGGGACGGAGAGAGGGAAGGATGGGGAGTGATGAAGAGAGAGAGAGGGAGGGCGCGAACTCGAACGTACCATATGATATATTATGAAGAAAACATAAATCCAACGGTTTACGTGCTCTTTATATTAAAACTCAGCGATAGCAAGTGTGGTATTTAAAAGGCTAATGATTGCCCCCATTGAATAGTACATGGCACACTGTCTAAAAGATAACACATATCAAAAATATCCGTACAAAGTGCGTGCAGCTCTGATTGGAATAGGCATTACTCGACCTTATTCACGTAGTATCACACCGTCTACCATACATGCAGGATCACTAGATGTAACACTAGGGATCACTAGATAAGCACAAAGGAGCGCGCCGATACCTATTCACCTACCTAATCCAAATGCTGTCCCAATCCACTCCAAATATACATACAATATACTAATATCATATGACCACACCACTAGTATTAACCCCCCCCTACCACCGAGACAGAGAAGAGAGAGACGAAGCACGAGAGAGCGAGAGCAGAGAAAGATAGAGGACGAGGAATGGGAGAGGGAGAGGGAGAGGGAAGGAAAGAAGGACGACAGAGAGCAGAGAGAGAAGCAACACACACACGACCCACCGAGAGAGAGGAGAGAGAGAGCAGCGAGAGAGCCGAGACAGACGAGACAAGCCCGAAGACCGAGAGAGAGACGAGCAGAGCAGACGAAAGCAGGAGAGAGAGAGACCCCCGAGACCCCTGCCACCCGCACCCGCCCACCAGGGAGCGCGAAGAGAAGATAGAGCCAACGAGAAAGACAGAGACAGAGCAGAGTCAGAACCGACGCGATGCGAATACATACAGACGCCCTCAAGCCCCAAGAGAGCGCACTTCTTAAAATGAGACTAAACGGTAGCAGGGCGGCATCGCCAGGGGGGGGGGGGGTGCGCACGACCCCCCTCACCCCCCCAAAAATTAAGTGCCGTTGTTCGGCCCAGGGAATTTTCTTTTCTCCAAATTTAAAAAAATAAATTAGAGTTGTAAGCAGAACAATACTGAAAAATAAGTTGATGTTTGCCGAGAGTTTTTGGGGGACGGGCCACCGACGTTTGTTCTGGGCTGCCGACAGATCGCCGGCAGCTGCGCCACCGTGATGCCTTGTTATAGACTGGACCCTCTGCGATAATAACCCCCCTCTACTTTTTCGCTTCAATAATTTTATTCCGAAGTTTTCGATAGTTATCTTGCAGTTTTTACTAAAACGGACTTAGTAAGTACTATAAATCTCTCCTGGCAAACCCACTCATTTGATCTAGATTGGTAAAAGGAAGTACTACGGCACCGCGTGTACGGGGCTGTGGGTGCCAGGGTCCGCGGACCCCCCACCGCCGCGCAGAAAACGCATGCTGAGGGGTCTACATTTCAAAAGAATTGTCGCGGGGAGGACCCCCTACCCCTCCGCGTCCTCCCCAATTCGGTTACAGGTGGACCCTCATGGACAACTCCGACACGCCCCTTGGCAAGAGTGTACTGAAGTAGTTTTAATAGAATAATACAGACCATTGAAATCAAGTTACGTTCAAAGTTTATACGTAGAAGATCAAATATATATTAGATGTATGAAACGGAAAGCATATAAATTAGTACATGTAATGATTTTAATTTTCTTTTGTAATAAAAGTGTGTTCAATCCATATCGCAGTTTGATTTCACCGGGTACTAGTATTTTGTCGCTCTGATGGCAGTTAATTTCAAGCAATTTGATGGTTTTTGTGGCTTTGTGGATTTTGCCTTGTACTGGAATTGTCTGTTTCATTGCTATGACAACACTTGAAGTACAAAAATTTCGCCTCATATGCTCTGAAAATGCATAAAAAGGAGTCCGATTTTTAAAAATTTTCTGGGGGAGGTCCCCCCGACCCCCCACCGGTTCCTTCGCACCTGCGGTCCTCGCACACAAAGCGGCGGCGCAGCCGCCGCTTCAGTTGCCCTTAACAAAATCTCAAAGTGCCCTTTGCCACCTGCACCCCCCCCCCTAGACAAAATCCTGCATCCGCCCCTGGTGAGATAATCAGGTTTCCTACAGTTTCCATCCAGTGATTATATATTTCGAACCTGTTGCCACCATGTCATAATACATTATCCTCTTACTTAGATTACGTTCACAGATAGATTAGGGTTTTTGTAATAATATTATGTTAGGGTTAGATTTAAGGTTAGGATTATGGTTAAAACAGTTTAATGCAGGAAACTGTAGGATTTCTAGATATATCTTATATTGCTTCTAGATCTACATACATTTACGCTTTCTATATACATCGACATATATTATATAGATACCGGTACACCTCTCTATTCTATGTTTTATAGCATTCCTAATTAGATTGAACATGAATGTGCACATGATACCTGATGGCTTATTATCACTACATCTAAACCTGTCAAGCTTGTCATGTAGGCACCACGTGTTCCATCCTAAATGCCAGCACCACATTTCAATTGTGAAATTCCGTAGATTCCTACCGATTTACGTACTGCGATCACACAAGTTTTCGCAGGTTGCCTCCAGCAAGGTCATGAAGTAATATAGATCTTACGCATCATGTACCGAGTGAACCATACGAAACTCAAGTGAATCGTGTTGACCTTTGTTATAAAAACTATCTAGCTGCGTTTAGTAAGAACCTTATTTTGTGTTATACAACACAACTGGATATAAGATGTGCCCTAAATTTAGTATAAAATGTCATGGGACAAATTTAGGGGAACTTCCTGCCCATGCCGGTGCATTACTACTATACCATATAATTGAGGTTATGTGTGTCTTTTGCTTAGGTTATTTACCTGGATGTAATACACAAATTACCTCATTAGTGTCAGCTAGGCCTAGCCAACCTTATATCTATTATTACTTTATCTTTAATTACCTGTCATTTGTTTTATTGTTTCAACCAGTTTCAGTATACCCTACAACCCAACCCATTGCACTGATGGTCTGTAAGTGCACTGGTTGTCGTTTTATGTCGTGCAGGATCAGGTTGTAGGCTCTACTACTTTCTTTTAATCTACTTTAAATACACAAATTACAGCATTGGTGGGAATGTAAGTAATGATGCTCATTTCAGTTGTCTGTCAGGAGGCACTGATGATTTCAACGTTTTGATTATGTTACGGATAATTTGAGACCCCGAACAGTGAAACATGACCTTCATCATCACAGGCACTTGAAACGTCTCAATAAAAAAAAGGTAAATAAACACGAAATGTATTTACTACCAGTCTTAATGTTTCTGTACTCTATTTCGCCTATTATTGCCGGTAATTACCCGTAAAGGCCGGTAAAATGCTCGAATTATAACTCTGTCCTTTGTTCTTACCTACTCCCGCCAGAGATATCTCGTGAATTCCTGCAGAAAATTTTCTCTCCGTGAAAATGTAAACCGGACGCATCATCCGAAAATCCCCAACAGCGCTACTCGATCTTTCGACCAATCACTGTAGTGGTGTGTGTGACGTCATGCCCGCGCGCATTATGCTTGGCTTGGCGGGCCTCGAAACGGAGCTCGGAGGCAGGCAGCAGCTCATTCCGGCATGCAATGCGCCCCATTACTCGTGTATAAACAGACATCTCGTCCGGTTTACATTTTCACGGAGAGAACATTTCCTGCAGGATTTCCCGAGATATCTCTGGCAGAAGTAGGTACAACAAAGGACAGAGTTATAATTCAAACAAGTGAACATTTAGCTACACATAGATACCAATATGGAGGCTGTTTGTTGTCTTTTCGTTCTGTAATCGGCTAAAATGCTAACATGTACCCACTACCCAAGCTAGGTCACACCCCATGGCTAGCTATAGCACTGGACGTTTATTCCTTACGGACAGTCCAGTATAGAAGTAGAAGTAGAAATAAAGCGAGCGTCGAGCGAATTTTGCGATCACGTTTTCCTACCTGCTTTCTTATTCATGTTGTTTGTGCACAGGGCGGGCGTGCGGTGTACTTGTGTGTTGCAGATGAGCATTTGACCAGCATTTACGGGTAATTATCGGCAATAATAGGCAAACTAGAGTAGAGAAACATTAAAACTTTGATAGTAAATACATTTCGTGTTTATTTACCTTTTTTTTTTTATTGAGACGGTCCATTGAATCAAAATATGAATCATTCAGTCAGCTACTGCGCATGCGCGAACCCGGATTTGAGCCTATTCAGTATTCAGCATAGCTAAATTTCTAAAATATTTTCCAATGTAGTACTAGTAGGGAGTCATATCCTGCATTCCTGGGTCACATAACTTCCAATGGATGCCTGTACTGTAGGCTGTACCGACGGCGACGGTGCTACCGACCGTTACTCAAAACCAGATGATCTTATCTTATTGGCTTATCTCTAACGATTAGTACGATTAAGTATTAGCCAAATGTTAGTTTAAACTATTTTTACTTACCATAATTTCGGTATTAAAATACGCGTCAGTGTATGCGAATGAAACATTAATAACAACTACAACTACAAGTTACAACAACCTGTTGCTTTCCAAATTCCGCCTCAGCTGATGGCGCCCTCATGTGAATGTTTCCGTGAAACACTAATTTTAACAGCGACCAATGAAATTTTTTTTACTGTATCGGGTAGCTGGTAATCTGTCTGTGACCGTATATCATCATCGTTCTGCGGGTTTTCTGCATGATTTTGTTAATGTGTCTATTTCGGTAATTATCAACAAGTACATTACAAACAATACAATATGTTGTCTGCATATAACAATATGCAGCTAGACAGGGGCGCAAATCCATGGGGGGACAGGGGGACATGTCCCCACGAATTTTTCAGAGGGCGGGACATTCATATCAAATGTCCCCCGATGATTTGGATCACATGATTTTTGTGTGTAGTGTGGTGTGTTGTGTGTGTGTGTGTGTGTGTTTTTTTTCCCGGCTATCTTCTTTTCTGTGTACGTGTGTGTGTGGATGTGTGTGTGTTGATTGTGTGTGTGTTGTGTGTGATGGTGTGTGGCATGCCGTGTGTGGTGTGTGTGTGTGTGTGTGTGTGTGTGTGTGTGTGTGTGCTGTGTTGTGTGTGTGTGTGGTGTGTGTGTGTTGTGTGTGTGTGTGGTGTGTGTTGTCTTTGTGAAGTGAGAACCTTTTATTCCGTGGTGTGATGTGCGTCAAACGATTGGTCTTCTTTCCTTTTTTTTTGAACAGCTTTTTGTAGTCAAGTGCATTTTAGAGCATAATAATTGATCAACTGCACAATTAAGAAAAAAGGTTTTGATAAATTTAGTACGTTTCTTTTTTAACACGTTTTTTTTTATATTTATAAGTCTTATGCAGAAATCTCAGAAAAAGTATGTTTATGAAAGTTTATGAGATATCACTCACATTAGACACTGATTTCAAGGATTTAGTTGGGAACATGAGCTATTTCACGCAAAGAGCGACAACTGGTAACGGAGCATCGCGTTTTAATAATGTAATTTTCATTGCAAAATTTATGATATTATATATACAGCTATTCACCTCTCAGTTCCCCTGTCCTCACCCCTAGCGTGCTCAATTTCCCCGCCCACTCATATGTTACTGATAGACTAACAAATAATATAACGGACCAATATATTTTCTGATCAGCCTCAACACCAAATGATGATTTTTCTGGCTTTTTGCTTTTCTTGATTTTATGACTGCATGTGGACACCCTTTTCGTAACTCTGTATCACAAACCAAATGCCATGTGTGTGTGTGTGTGTGTGTGTGTGTTGTGTTGTGTGTGTGTCGTGTGTGTGTGTGTGTGTGTGATCGGGTGTGTGCTGTGTTGGGTGTGTGTGTGGTTGTGTGTTGATAGTGTGCTGTGTGTGTGTGTGTGTGCTGTGTGTGTGTGTGCTGCAGGGGCGTGTACAGGGGGGGGGGGGGTTCCAGGCGTATCCGGACCCCCCCCCTACTCGCGCAGAAAACGCATCTGGAGCGGGGCTCTCAATTTCAAAAAATTTGTGGGGGATGGCCCCCCCAGACCCCCCTCTGCGCGTGCTCGCTACCGGTGTCCCCCCCCCCATTTTCAAACTGGATTTGCGCGCCTGCGACTAGATAGGCTACAAGGCATTAATCATATAGCGTAGTAACTATGACTGAGTACATTCATATTCACACTATTATGGCGTTCATTACAATTACATATATTACATTGAAAAAACCTCGCTTTATCTAACAGTAGGCCTAATTACATTTCATATACAAACTATCAAAAACTCATCACGCCGGCCCACGTTAATGAATTACCTACGTTTGGCTGATTTTTTACTAGCTGTTTCTAGTATTTATAAAATGCTATTAAAACTCTCCACGAATATATCCCACGCGTTCGTTGCATCTTAACATGCGTGGAAAATGTCTAGTCTGTTTACATTGTATTTATTTATTGTTTGTTGACGGAGGGAAGCGATGGATTTCTAAATAAGCGGTCTGTCCTAGCCGAAATTTGCAGACTTTAATTGATCCTTGAGTATCTAACTTCAGAGTTTGCAAATTGAATATAATCCTCATGATTTCAAAGAAATTGAATACATGAAATTAATTTACCGTTTTGAGAGACATAATGGTGAGGAACATACGAAAGATTATGCGGACTCAGGCGGAGAAATTGAAAAAAAAGTCGGAGCTTCTTATACTATTAACGACAGTTATTGTTTTTTGAAATTCCTTCCGTGTCATATTTTACTCATGTTTTCTTTATGTAACACACTTACTTGCCACTGTAAATGTAAGAATCCTAACCAAGAGTTGGACAAAGACACCGAGATAAGAGGAGTAGTAGTTAATAAAAAATTTATAGGATGGTGGTATAATATAATAATATTAATAATAATAATAATAATAATAATAATAATAACTATAATAATATATAATAATAATTATGATAATAATAATAATAATAATATAATAATAATAATAATAATAGATATAATAATTGCCAAGAGTGCAGACAGAAAATCGCATTACTGGGACATGCACAAATCCTGCGAAATTATTCTGGATTGAATCCCTAGTGTCCCAGGTTGGAACACGGTTCAACCCAGAAGGCCACGGCAATGCCGTGATTCCCACTTCTGGAATAATTATATAATAATAATAATAAAGAGCAGAAGAAGGACAAAACAAAGAAGAAGAAGGAGGAGGCGGAGGAGGAAGTGGAGGGGTAGGCGGAGGAGGAGAATGGGAAGAAGAAGAAGAAGAAGAAGAAGAAGAAGAAGAAGAAGAAGAAGAAGAAGAAGAAGAAGAGTCGACGAACGACGACGATAAGGATGATGAAGAAGGCGGGGAAAAACAAGAAGATGATTTGATACTCATTTACTCCAAAAATAAATCTTTAGCATAAAGCTGCAAGATGGGTTTCGAAAAACTATCATGATAGTTCTGATGTTGTTTTGGCTCAACTGGATTGGCATCCACTTCGTGTTCTCCAAAATTGATCATGGTCAGGTAAAGATTGGCATTCCCTCTTGCTTGATGACGCCTGTTCGTTGCACTCGATCATCTGAGTGTGATCATTGCTTCCGACACGTGCCATTTTCAAAAATATATAAGACGTACTAGCCTAACGCTCAAACAGTCATCGTTTTGATATCGTATTTCACACGACTCTACTAGGTAATTATGATTTTCGTATTTTCTTTCGCGCAGTACCTTGCCTATTATTGTACTAATATGTGACGCGATATAGCATAGATATACTCGCAGGGTGCATTAAGTCATTAACATACTCGATTAATTACTTTAACTAGACCGAATATATATTTGTGTAACACAGAGTTAGTTGTACGAGTATAGATTGATGTAATCGCAAGATGCATTATTTAGGAACGTATTGTGAATGCTTACTTTAACTATACGGCATAGGTATATTTCTGGTATATGGGGTTGGTTTAACGTATGTAGACTGTATGTGTAATGCTATAATAAATAGTCATCGTGTTTCGATACGTATCTCCCACGACTCTACTAGATTTATTTTGAGACCATGCGAAAAGTCATCGTATGAGCGACAACGTAGGTCTACTTCACAATACAACAACTTTGTAGCAAAAATGTTGAGTGCATGTCGTCAGCATAGCAGTACCCCGCTGCAATACAAATACGAATTTCGTGTCATTTGCACTACTCTAAGATCTCACACTTATAGCACACTCAATTAGATCCCCAGCTGTGTTTAAGTGTTTCGTAGTCACAATTTCTCGCGGACATCCAGATGCTAGCAGATCGAGTTAAGATAAACACGCGTCGACAGACGGCGCTAACGTCAGCTAATATAGCTGGTCTAACAACGCCAAGCTAACACATTACCGACGTCTTGACAAATTATAACGCCACGCTCGTAATATAATTACACACGCGTGCAAGCACGCACGCACGGACGACGGACGGGCACAAGACACACGCGCACCCGCACATTGCAGACACACACACACAGCCACACCGACACACACACAACCACACACACAACACACACACACACACACACACAACACACACACACACACACAACACACCACACATCACACACACACACACCACACACACCCGGCACAGCACACACCACACACACCACGTGTGCACACACACCACAGCACACACACACAACACAACACGCAGCACACGCACCAGTCGCGGCACAGAAACGCACGCGCACCGATTGCACTGCACAACGCTCACGCACACGGCACGGACGCACACGCACACGCAACACGCAGCACGCACACGCACGACGCCACGCGGCAGCGACACACGCACCGCGACACGCCGCCCACGCACACACACATACATACACACACACAACGTATATGTATATATGTAATATATATATATATATATACTATATTTATATAGTATATATATATATATATTATATATATATACTATATATTAATATATATATGAATATAAGATGAATGATTACGTCTAGAAAAGTATTCGTGCGTGCGTGCTTTTCGTTACATCGTTAATATAAATGTAAAATGTAAACAAAGAGAGTGCACAGAATTACTATACTCATCGCTGATATTATATTTATCAAACATACGAAGCAGCTTTATTGTACAAGAGCCTTTGGGCTTTTCCTTAATATCTACTAAGCGATATATGATACTTTGAAGAAGGCTACTCCGCTTTTTACAATGCTATTCACTAATTTACAGTGCATCATGTGTGTGTGTGCGTGCATGCGCCGCGCGGCGCGCTGCGCATGTCGGTATGTATGGTGTGATGTAGTATGTATCGTACTTGTATGTATGATGTATGTATATTGTATGTAGTGTCATGGTATGTACTGTCATGTATGTACTCGTATGTATGTATGTATTGTATGTATGTATGTATGTGTATGTTATCGTACCCTATTATGTATAATGGTTATGTATGTTATGCTTATCGTACTGCTACGTCTATGTATGTCGTATCGTCCTAGTCATGTAGTCTTCGTGATACACTGACCTCCCGTACTGTTGATATGTATGTACTGTATGTATGTTATGTATGTATGTATGTATGTATGTA